GGTTCAACTATCTGTCCCGTCGTCCCGCGCGCGTACAACCACCGCTGAAGCACACAGTCACCGTAAATAGCACCAACCAACAGAACATTATTTTTTTGTTTGTCGGTCTGAACGCGTCACATTAAATTACTTTGTTTTCCAATTCCGAGTCACGCGTACGTACCGATCWTCTTCCGAGTGCAATAATATAAATACAGATCGKCGTCTGCAATATTTTAAAATCATCATCATCATCATCATCGCCACCGCCGGTAGTTAAATATTACGGCGAGTTCGGTCACCGCGACGAGTAAATACATTCCGATTCCATACCCCGGAAACAATTTATGCACAGAAGATGTGAGTATAACAATAATATCATGTACAATTGAATTTTATCACGTATTATTATTATCGTTGGTAGTTGTCAAAACGTGTGATACACAGCATTGTAGTTAAATAAAACGTGTAGATCGATGATTGCCCTCCCCCCTCCTTAGGGGTGTCTTTGGACTTGCGACGCGTATTTTTAGCGCGGCGCTTCGGCGCGTGCTCTTTGCGGCGAGGACGATTATAATAATATATTTTCGACACATTTTTCTGTTCAGACCATAACCTTTTTTTTATTTGATGCTATGCACTCGTCTATAGTGTAATCATGTCGTCGCTGTGGCCGCCGCACCGCAGCCGATGTCTCGCAATCTATTTTTAAACAACTGTTGCGTAATCCTTGAACGTATGATACGAAACGCTATCAAGAAATCCGTATATCAAAGAGAGCTCTCCGGCAGAGTATCTCGGACCTTACATCTTCCCGTTTAGACTTTGTCCGATTAATTTACCATATCCTAGGTACCTACCTGGTACTTATTCGAAAATCTTACAATTATTATTATTATTATTATTGTGCGTGGACGAAACTCGTTAGCATCGTATACGAATCGTGATTCGTTTCGACGTCTGTGATAACGATAAGTATGGGAATAAACTACGTATTAATATCATTTCAATACCAGCTTTATGCGAGACATTACGCGTGATAACGCAATACCGTCTACAGGGATTATTACTTTATTGTCAACGGGTGAAATTCCCGCCATTCGACTATGTATACATGCATCAAATGGGGGAAATAAGATGAATGGGTTCTCTTTCTGAAATTTGGGGGAGGTCTGTCGCTCGGTTCGGTATATATTATCGAACCCTAACTTCCAAGGTCAGACCACCCCCTACGGCCGTTAACAAAAGGACGTGTCGAAACACGTACATTTTACTAAGAAACAAGGTACAATAGAAGTACTATTATTTTTTTTTTCAAATTTCGTACCTCATA